TTTCAGTGTTGGGTAGACAATCATTCTGATCATCATCTATCTCTATTTCATGATCTCAATCATCCACTCTATCATCCTGAATCATCCTAAATCATCCTAAATGATCCTCAATCATCCTAAATTATCATCAATGATCATCAATCATGAATGTATTTCCATTATAAGGGACGCTGGGCCCGGTTCCCAGCACGTGCTGCTCCCCACGAATAGATTGGAGCATTTTTTTCAAAAATAAAATAAAATAAATCCTTGTGTTCGCCCGGTCAATGTCCAAACTGACATCTGCCTTCTTCAGTCGGACGCGCTCTCAGACATGTGGCATAGGTATGGAAGTACCATTTGCACCTTCGACACCAATCTGTGTATGGAGTAACAACTTGAATGTCCACTTTACATCTCATTCCAAAACATCTAGGTCCTTTCAGGCCCTTGTGCTGCTGCGCACATGAACATTAGGGAGGCCTATATCCCCTGCACCCACAGGTAAAGGAAAAAGTCCGAGAGAGGCAGCAAGCTCCTCGCCATACTACTTGTGAGACAAAAAAAAATGCGAAAGCATCTTCGCACAGAAGGTCGCAAGATACTTCCGTTGCTATGCATAGTGACTGTCATATCTTGGCACCTTGTGTGGGAAGGTGCACTTGCATGTCTCTCATTCAACAGGTAGTGTCGCAAGGCCCCAAGGCGATGGAGAATGGCGGTGGTGTGATTTCTATCCTACTATCACAATCTTAACATGGCAAACCGCAGCCCATTGAGTACAAGAAGCATCAGGGAACTGAGCATGGCAATTGAGAGCAGCACATTCAGCAACCAGGCTAAGAGAAGGAGTAGGTGTGGGTGGTGGGTTGGGCGGGGCAGTGATAAAATGAGGACGTCGTCGTGCAACCATAAAAGCAGAAGAATGAGAACGGCGAACAAATGATGTGAAGCACAACAGTTAATGGCACATTCGACAACTAGCCGAGAAAAAAAGAGATGGTGCGGAGGTCCAACGTTAGGCTGGCTAGTAGCCATGGGATTGCAAGTGGAATGTGTGAATAACGTTCAACAACTGCATAAGAGGGCGTGGCAGGCAAAATCGTCAGTGGAGCAGAAGGGCAGGGAAGAAATGTTAGGGCAGCACTTGGCAGTATGTTTGATAACCAAATGAAGCAGAAATGGGAGGAGAGCTGAGGCCGGCACAGCATGTGGTGGCAAATCCAACAGATAGCAGAACGAGGAGGACGAGGAGGAGGAGGAGGAGGAGGAGACAGTGACAAGCGGGGCTGCTATTTCTGTCGGCTGTTGATGAATTTTGTGACTGGCCTGCAAACCGGCTCTGATCCCTGAAGGTTGTGGCGTGTTTATGGCCGTTGGGACAATTTGCAAGGGAAAAGTACTGGTGGTTCCAAGCACTTCTGACAACCATAGTGGAAAAAGAGAGGTGTGGGGCTCTAGTTGCTGGCCCAGCCCTTTGGCGGGGGGAAATGCCGGTCAACACAGAGCTGCGAAAAGGTTCGGACAAAAAGGTGGTGGTGTCGGGTAAATCAAGCATTGCGACCATTCACATTCCTTAGGCCTGCCAAAAAAATGCATTAGAAAAATGAGGCTTGCAACAACGCAAACCTCCTTTCTCCCGACATGGATTTCTGCAGCACTTCGAGAAAAAAAGTTCGAAAACCTAACTTACAAAAGAGCATATTCTGTAATTTACGTTTCTTGCTATACAAGCAATTAATGACAGGCCTATACTAAAGCACAATTGCTTCTCTTCTCTTCGGATTTCTTGGTCTGCAATTTGGAAATACGAGGTGTTCGTATTCCCATAGGCTGTCAGTAAATTTCATGCCTGCGTAGCACCGAGTAGGTGCTGGGTCAAAAACCATATGCCGTCACTTTCAGTACCCTAGGGATGGACGAAGCCAGTCAACGCTGGTCAGCTCACTGGGGTGAGTTGTGCCACCCCATAACCCATGGCTATGTGGGAGCATGACGCCAGGTACGAAGTAGCCTACGTCACCATGTGGTGCGACGTGTGTGGTGGGGGCCCTGCTCAGGTAATACTTCAGCCCGTCAGGACATACCCAAGAATTATGTGGTTGAATTCTCAATCAGAATCATTATAACTGCCATTCATGGTTCTATTTCAATGCCTGTAAGGGTTGAGACCCTCAATCTCACGATACTTCAAGAGGCTTGAACTCTGAATAGCTATTGTAACAGAAGGTCGATAGTCGGTGTTCGGTTCGGGCCCTAACGCCTGAACCCCGCAGCCAAAGGTTTAGCTCAACGGTGAAGTTTTTTTTTTTCTTTTTTTTTTTTGAATGTGTTACGATCCTGGCCAATTTCGACCTACACATTCATCAGAAAGTACAATGCCATCCAATTGTTAAAAGAAATGAATGAACTTGAGAGGAGAGAGAGGGAAAGAAGAAGAAGAAGAAGAAGAAGAAAGAAGAAGATGATGATGTACTCCAACATAGACCAATGATAATGCTCCTCTTCTTCGCCAACCACTCTCCTCCTCCTTATCTCCTCCCCTCTTATCCAAACAAGAAATAACAATAATAATGTTGAATGGCTGAACCAGAATCAATGTCAGAATCCCTCTTCTACTGCAGGCAGAACATGAGGTCCACCATAGCCATGACCACCCTTCCTATTACTCTTCATGTAGGCCAAGGCTATGACGGATTACTGAGGGCTATGCCCTCCTGTCCAAAGGACAACCCAAAGCAGCTATGTTGTTGTCCTCCTGTGCAATGGACAACACAAAGCAGCTATGCCGCTGCTTATTGAGTTGCCATGCCTGACTTTGCCCCGAGCTTCCTTGGTGCGACATTACCTCAACTGGGGCCTTCCAGATGCAGTGCCTATCAAGATGATGAAGAAGGTGTCCACCATAGCCAGGTAGGTACCTCACCACTCTCCTCCTCAGTCCTCTTCTCCCTCCTCCTACCGGTAGAGCTCCACCATAGTTGAGGTGAGAGCTCCCGACCTTCGTCCTCCCAGCAACGCTGTAGTACCCAGCGCTCCTCCAGCCAGCGCTCCAGCAGTGTGTCGCCAAACTTGCACACCGAAGAATGAGGCTGGGTTCTTCGCTCAACCTCAAGATATAGCGGCCTACTTGCCTCCTGGGCAGTGGCTTCCACGCCACTCGGCCTCCCAAGCAACCGGTACCTCCTCCCTTTCGGAGGGAAACATCATTGCAGACTCTGATATTGCCCGTACAGGCCCTAGACTCAGACTGGGGATGGACTGGTACCCGCCTAGGCCTACCCTACCGCTACTGGGCCTCTAAATATGCCAACTTTGTCTTCTTCTGCTCGGCCTCGAGTACCCGGCATATCTACTTCTACTTGGTGCAATACCGGCCTACCAGCTACTTGAGTGGTTTTTCGCTGCTCTAAGTGTCGCGGGCCTCTTGCTCCGCCACTTGAGTGTATTCGCTGTTGCAACCCTCAATGTCACGGCCACAGGTAAGTACCGACCCTACGGGCCTCCCAAACAAGCAAGTACCCTCGTGGGTCACACAGACACCCATGCCGACAAACACTCAAACAGGCACGCAGGTCACAAAGCACTCATACACACACAGACTTAGAAAACTTAGCAGAATGCAGGAATCTCAGCATGGCATCCATTCCATCAACAGAACTTCAGAAATCAGCATTGTTTTCAACCTGTGTTATGGAGGGTCATTACACTACCCCCCCCTCAAGAGCGAGGTCCCTTCAAGCGAGTAACTCACTCAGAATCCCTGCATAACGCATCGTAAGCATAAATGGCAAAGAGAGATCGGATATTTTCCGTAGGAGTGAGGGTAGCGGTGAATTTAGGTTGCTGTTCGGAGACAATCAATCGTTCATATGCTTTGATGACTCGTGGGGAAGTTACACGTCCTTCTGACAAGATGATTGGCCCTGATTTGAGCCTCTGCTTGCAATCGAAACTGGCTAAGGTTGCCAGGATAACTCTGAGTTGAATTGTGAGGTCCGCGGCCTCAGTCCTTATTGCGCAATAAATGTTAATGCTTTCCAAAAACAAAAACAAAAAACAAACAAACCAGCCTTTCCGATCAGCAGCCATGAAAAAAACAGCTGCTCTGCAAACATAACAAGTTTTACGCCCATACCCAAACTGCGCCTCTGACCTGAAGCCGTGGGACAAGCTGTTCTCAGACAAACAACGGACTTCCAGATCGGGACAAAACGAAGGTTTGGGGAAAGGAGAGGACTGCATGAGGACTGGCCCGCTCCCCCTTCTTCTTTTTATTTCCTTGCGCAGGGAACATACGGGAGCTGCAGCAGGTGCGATTCCTGAAATTCTCAGCTGGAGATCCCAGTTCCAGTCTGGGACTCCCCATCCCCCGTTTTTTCTTCCTAAAATCCTTGGCACAACCCCCTTTCACGCAACTTCTGGGCCCACTCCCAGTCACGCTGGGCATGAGGTTGGGCGTCACAGTCCTGACTCCTTGTGAATCAGTCGGATAACAAAGATAAAGACGTTGGCGGGGGGGCCTTTCGGCCCCTGAGGGGGTTTGGAATATAGTTTTCAACCAGCAATAGACGCTTCTCGGTTAGCCCTCACCGACTGTGTCATTGCTACAGCAGGTGGGCGATACCGGACAAGGGGTCAGCCTGTAGCATCCGGACCGAACTTCTTCGATGGGCCAGTCGCTGTGCCTCCTCTCCGGTCCCCTCCCCCTCCCTGTGACCATCAGCAGTCTCTGCTCAATGCCACTCGGGGGGACCAATGGCCTATCTCTAAGTGGCGGGTGCCAAGCTTGCCCAGGAAGGTACGTGAGGCCAGTGGGGATTGAACCCAAGACGTCCTGAATGCCACTTGCGTGCCTTACCAGCTGAGCTAGCCCGCTGGATGGACTCTGCTTTCGCCTGCGCCCAACCCATGGCTGCGCCCCCACGCCCAGCGTGGTATCAGTAGCGCAGCGAGGCCCATTATCTCGCTGGAGAGGAGTCCGACAAAACCTGGCGCCGCCGGGCAGAAATCGGCGTCCCGCCGGAAAAAGACTGTGGTATCATGTGACGTGACCCCACCGTGATCCACCGGAAATCTGGTCGCGCTTCGCTGCGGAGCGTTGCGGCCGTCAGCGTGGTGAGAGGGGTTGGGGTTGCCTGCGTTGCCTTGCGTTTCGTTTCGTGTGGTGGCACTCCAGCCCGCCACAAGCTGTCTGATCAACAGTAGATTTCCTCCACGTCTTCTACGTACGGTAGTCCTTGTCTTTCCGTAAGCACCTACGGTAAGCACGTTCTTCCCCACCTGTTTTTCTCCGCCCCCTCTCCTCCTCCTCCTCCTCCTTCCCCTTCTCCTCCTCCCCCTCTCCTCCTCCTCCTCCTCCTCCTCCTCCTCCCCCTCTCTTCCTTCTCCTTCTCCTCCATTTCTGCCCCTCTCCTCCTTTCCTCCATCTCCTTTTGTCTCGCCTACCCGGCGCGTCCTTCTCGTCGCATTCTCTTGTCTTCTGTTGCGGCTGTCATCCACGTCGTTTCGTCGTTCTTTTTCGTCGTTTTGGCGGTGCGTCTTTCCATGTTCTAGGGGAGGATTCATTTTCATTTTGAACATTGGTGAGTGGTGCAGCGAGGCCCGTTCTCTCTCTCTTCCCCCTCGCCCCCTCCCCTTTTATCTCTCTCGCTCCCCTTCTCTCTCTCTCTCTCTCTCTGAGACACAGTTCTTTTTTTTTTTTTTTTAAATCTCAGCAGCAAACAATCAATCGAACTTCGTCATGTAGATTTCCGAAAGCCACCTAGCGCAGCACTGGATGAAGATGAAGTTAGAACAAACTGAAAACAGAAGAGAAGAGGGCAAGAAACCTATCATGATGAGACACACACTGCACCGCCTGACGGAGGAACGGCCTACATGAGAAGTCATTCCTCTGCAGTTAGGACTGCAGCTCCGCTCTGAAGAGAAGAGAGTGGGTGCTGTTTTTTCTCGTGCTCAGCTTCCCCAAGCTTTGGCCGTTTCCTTCCGGTCACCATTTCCTCGCTCCCTCTTTTGTCCCCTAACCATTCGGAACATGTTTACGTGTCTGAAGACAGAAACACAATGACCATCCCTATTTTGTCTTTTGTCTCCATTACATCTCTTTGTCGGAACACCAGCCGTCAACTTTCCCATGCAGAAAAACCGATATGCACGCTGTTCAAACCAAGTGCCTTAAAAAAAATTAAAAAAATGAGAGAGAGAGAGAGAGAGAGAGAGAGAGAGAGAGAGAGAGAGAGAGAGAGAGAGAGAGAGAGAGAGTCTGGCCGCCTTAAAAAAAATGAAAAAAAATTCAAACAATCAATCAATCAATTTTACTGGGTGAGAGATCGGGAGGGAGGGAGAGGGATAGGTGGGAGAGAGATAGGAAGACCGAGCGAGAGAAAGGAGGGAGGGAGCAATCAATCAATCAATATCATTGATTGATTGATTGATTGATTGATTGATTGATTGATTGATTGATTGGGTGAGAGATAGGAGGAAAAAAGAGAGAGAGAGAGAGAGAGAGAGAGAGAGAGAGAGAGAGAGAGAGAGAGAGAGAGAGAGAGAGAGAGAGAGAGAGAGAGCATCTGGGGGAGGGTAGTAGGAGCGAAGATAAAGAGATGGCGAATGGGATAGGTAAAGTAAGAGAGCGCGCTGCGCCGAACGAAGGTAGGAGTGAAAACGAACGAGGAAAAACGAGTGGAAGAACGAGAAAAGGAGGGAGAATGGGCGGAAAAGAGAGGGGGAGGGGGAGAGAAAGAGAGAGAGCGTCTTGGCATGCCGCCCAACCCTTCCGCCCCTATCCCCCCCCCATACCCGCGCGTTAGTCTACTGCCTACCAGGCTTTTGAAAATAAAAATACAAATCATCCAATTAATCAATCAATCAATCAATCACATTGATTGATTGATTGACTGATTGATTTTTTGATTAATTGGGTGGGAGAGGGATAATGTGTGTGTGTGTGTGTGTGTGTGTGTGTGTGTGTGTGTGTGTGTGTGTGTGTGAGAGAGAGAGAGAGTTTGGTTCTCCCCCCCATCCCTCCTTCCGCCTTCCTCCCGTCCCCCAGTCCCCCCCCAGCCTCCCCCTCCCTCCCCACCTGCGCCTTCGCCTACTGCCTGGCCGTCTTTTTGAAAAAAAAAAGGGAAATTGCATCTGTGCCCCACTTAAAGATGGGAATACCGGGGGTACCCAGTCCAGGGGTCAACTTGCGTCTATACCCAGAAAACGACTGATGGAAAGTGTTTTCATGCCCAGGACCGAGGTGGACCCAAGTTGGTACCCCAAAATTGTGGTTATAACCAGGAATGTACAAATTATGGACATACCCAGGGCATACCCGGGACCTGAGGAGGAGAGGAGACCAAATTGTTCATCTACCCTGCTACCGGATGCAGCTGTTGGGCCACAACAGTCTACTTGGTGGGCATGAGCATAATTTCGTGCTCTGAATCCAGGGCCTGTGGGATTGGGTACACCTACAATTTCGCACAGGGGAAAAGCTGGGTACTATGCAAAGTTCGCGCTGGGACTGTGTATAGCGGGTATTCCCATCTTTAAGTGGGGTACACATGCAATTTCCCCCCCCCAAAAAAAGCAAAATCAATCAATCTATCTATGATTGATTGATTGATTGGGTGAGAGAGAGGAGGGAGGGAGAGAGAGAGGAAGGGAGGGAGAGTGAGTGAGAGAGTGTCTCGCCATCCCCCCAACCCTCCCTCCCCTCCCCCCCCCAAAAAAGCACCCGCGCGTTCGTCGTCTGCCTGGCCGCCCTTTTGGAACAAAAAAATTCAAGCAATTAATCAATCATCGCGTTGGTTGATTGAATTTTTTTTTTTTTTTTTTTTTTTTTTTTTTTNGAGAGAGAGAGAGAGAGAGAGAGAGAGAGAGAGAGAGAGAGAGAGAGATGAGATGGGGGGCACCAGTGCTGCCTGCCGGCACTGCTGCACTGCTGCAGCGGTGGTTGCTGCAGGCACTTCTGCAGCAGCTATCAGTGCAGGTGTTGCAGCAACGGTTACAGTAGTGCTTGCTGCAGTGCTTGCAGAAGTACCTGCAGGCAGTGCTGCAGGCACTGCTGCTGCACCATTCGTTGAAGCAGCATCTCCAGAACCGACTGCAGCACCCGTTGCAGAAAAAATCTGTTGTGTGTGTGTGTCTGTGTGTGTGTGTGTGTGTGTGTGAGAGAGAGAGAGAGAGAGAGAGAGAGAGAGAGAGAGAGAGAGAGAGAACACTTGCGATTTGGACAATACGTGCGAGGCTTTACTCTCACAGAATACACGTCCTGCCCATGGCATGCGACAACAAGAAGTCGCGATCACCCTTCTGCCTCTCTGCTCAGGTAATCATCCCAGCCATTATCCAGGTATTTATACCGTACGTCTCCAGTCCTTCCCCACCTGTCTATCCTCTTTCCCGTAGTATACTCTTTCTTTATCACGTCGATAGTCGCAGAATTTCGCCGTCACACTTTACGCCGCTAGATGTTGATCTCCCAATTGTCCTCCTCCTCTTACTATTCTCTCTCCTTCCGTATCTGCTTCTGGTCCCAAATCCTCTCTGATACGTCCGCACTTTCTTCCTTATCCGGATATAACCGTCCTCGTAATTTTCACCAACGTCCCTTCCCCGTATTTTACAATTTCTCTCGAATCCTTCTTGCCTCCGATGATACTCCCGTAGTCCATTCAATCTGGATATAATTCCTAACATATTTTCCAAAAAGTCCTTCCTCCGTATTTTATAATTTCATCCGACTACTCCTTTCCGACGATAAATCTCGTCGTCCTTTCTATCAGGTTTTAATTTCTATCATATTTTGTCCACAGTCCCTCCTCCAATCTTGCCTGCGTAATCCCTGTGTCCAACGATAACTCCCGTAGTCTTTTCTGTCTAGATATAATTCCCATCGCACTTCTCAAAAATATACCTCCTCCGTAATTTCAATGAACCTCCTCGTAGTATTATATATCTAGATATAATTCCTTCCCGTATTTTTCAAAAAACATTCCTTCGTACTTTACAATGCTCTCCGCTGAATACCATCCGCAGATTCATCTACGTACTTATCCCTATTTCTGGAGGTAGTGACAAAAATCCTTCCTCCGTCTATCAAGTTTCTCGTGTGTTCATCCTTGGTTATTATATGTCCTAGTCTTTTCAATCGGGAAGATTTTTCTTATTTCCGTTTCTTTTCTTTTCTTTTCTTTTGTTACTGACTTGACTGCGCTGTTCTATTCTCATTTTATTTTATTTTATTTTATTCTTTTTTCTTTTCTTTTCTTTTCTTTTATTTCTTTTCTTTTAATTTTATTTTATTATTTTACTTTTATTTTTACTTTATTTTATTTTATTTTATTTTATTTTTTATTTTATTTTACTTTACAAGGAGTTATGTGCTAAACGTTTGCTTGTTTTTGTTTTGTTTTTCGTTTTATTTGTTTTTGTTTTTGTTTTTTGTTTTGGCTCCGTCGTATTTTCAGGTACGTATTTATCTGCTGATTTTATGCGGAACCTTTATTCCAAATGCAGTAATTTACAATAAATAATTTACAATAATCTACATCACCCCTTTCTCTTTCTGTTTGTTTCATATTTGTCCTCATTTTCCAGGAATTCGATGAATATATCCCGTACATCCTTGTCCTTGCAATTCTTGATATACGGCAGAATGGTCGTTCGGATAACCTGCCATGGGAATTCCAGTAGTTTGAGCTCCGTAACTTGCACCTTTAAAACCGCTGTTATGTCTTCATGTGAATACGTATTTGCGACGATTCTGTGAAATGTTCCGATGATCGTGAGCTTCTTTGGTTTTGATCGAGCCCACGCTCCTGAAGTGACGGATAGACCTAAGAGAGAGAGAGAGAGAGAGAGAGACATGATTGGGCAAACATATTATTTTTGCAAACAACACGGAGTGCGGTTGGTAAGAGTTGTGGCTTCCTCATAGTACATCGAGCCGCACACATGAGCGCGACAAAGAATCTCGAGATTGTGCTCTTCTTCTTCTTCCTATCCTCCTTTTGTTCTTTTTACCTTTTCTCCTTCTCTTTCTGCTGCTCCTCTCTCTCTCTCTCTGTATCTCTCCATTTTCAGTCTGTCAGTGTGTCTTAGTCTGTGCAATTCTGTTCTGAGTCAGTTGAGCCCATTTTTGACTACCTTTTGAGTCTGTTTTTGTATACAAGTCCGTTGGAGTCTCTGTGAGCAGTTTGTGCGATGTTTGCCGTTTCTTTTTCTTTTTTTTTTTCACCGCAGTCTCTAGGCTAGTTTTTTTTTCTTTTTTTTGTTTTTCTTTTTTTTTTTGCTAGTTGTTTTTTTGGGAACGTCCCATCATTATGTTTTTTTTGTAAGAGAGAGAAATGCTTTGCAGTCCCTCGGGACCTCGGTTGAGATTGGAAAGATGCAGAGAAAGAAGATTAGCGTGGCCCCTGCGCATTCAAGGATGACACGCATAAATCAAGAAATGTTCAAAACTTGGGGAAAAAAAGGGAAAAAGGAAAAGAAAAAGGAAGAAAAATGCTTTGCGCACGGGAATTCAAGATTAGCGTGCCCCCTTCCTTCTGTCTGCGTGAGGATAGGGGCGGGAATGGGGGTGTGGGGGAATTGTGGACACCAAAGCAGAAAGGGAGAAAGGAGGAAAGAACGTGGGGATAGTGTCATAATATGGGTAGGAGGATGGGGAGCGGCGTAAAGGAGGGCCGTAGAAAGCTTACGAATTACCAGAGGAAGGAGGGGAACAACATTGCGACAGTCAAAAAAAAAAAAAAAAAAAACATTGCGACAGGGTTGGGAGACAGGGAGTTAGTGAAAGAAGGGGGATCCTCTTCCCCCTTCCCACTCCTTTTGTGATTTCGAAGCTCTGTCCCGCCCACATTTTCACCCCTCCCACCTCCTCCCAACATCCGCTCGTTTCACCCACCCTCTTTTCCCCTCTCCTCCCTTCTGAGACCTATTACAAACCCTTTTCCCCACACCTTCACCCCTTTTCTCTCTACTGTAATGCCTTATCCCCCCCTCCTCCTCTTTGTCCCTCTACCTGCCTCCTAACCCTGTTGTTCCCCCCCGCCTATTTTCTCCCCTCTTCCCCCTCCTAACACCTATTACGAACGATCTTCCCGGCAGGGGGGAGGAGGAATAGGGCGAGGGGCGGGGAGCGTCAAGGTCGCAGAAGGCGGGAATGGAGGAAATCTCCTGTGTGTATGTGTGCTCGTGTGTGTATATTTCCCCTCGTGTTCGCTGTACACAACTCCAGAAGAAAAGTATGACCGTGCCAAACTGTTTCGTCAAACTTTCGCGGACTCATCAGGTGGGGTTTTATTCACCCCAGCCCTGCAATCCTAGCAGACTGCCTGTCCAAACCCCCGACAAGAATGCCTGTAACTCTGAGAAACTGCTCTTTGTGAAAATGTGTGTGTGTGTGTGTGTGTGTGTGTGTGTGTGTGTGTGTGTGTGTGTGTGTGTGTGTGTATGTGTGTGCGTGTGTGTGTGTGCAGACGCACATGTCTGTGCGAGACATTCGCTCCTCTTTGGTGTTTGTTTTTGGTTCGAAATTGTTTTAACCGGTTTGACATGTTTTGTTTTGTTTTTTTGTGTTTTTGGCCACTGCAGGAGAGGGAGGAAGAATAAAGAGGTCCCATCTTCTTCAGCGCCGGTTTGACGTCGGTCACCGAACAGAGGGAAGCTCACGATGGCAGCCTCTCTAGCTTCAAAATGTTCGTCATGGGCAGTTAGGGCAGGGCAATGCGCATCATCGTCTTCCCTGCAGCCTGCTGTGAGGGGGACAAGGGCTCCCTCCTCACAGGCACCTGCAACATTGCGCCATCACCTCAAGGTTCTGTTCTCCATCTGAGGCTTTCAGTTTTTTTTTTCTTTTTTTCTCTAGTTTAATTTATTTTGTTGACCATTTGTCCCCACCCAGTCTTTTTCTTTTTTTAAGTTTGAATAAAATGCAAGCAAAATGAGCAATAGCGAGATGACAATGTCCAGAATGCACAATCACATTGAAGGCCAGATAGTATCACAGTGTCCAGAAAGCAGAAATGCACCAATATAACACCAATGAAGAATCGTAACACTGGAAACCAATGTCAATGAGAGCTTGCTCTCGCCACCACCAACATGAGTATCCAGGCCCTATCTCCCTACTTGGCGCTTGGCACCCAGCCTACTTCCTACACAGCTACAGTCTGCCTACTAATTGACAATGCAACTGTTGACGTCAGCAGCCCACGTAGTAGTTGAAGATGTCGCCCAATGTAGACCATCGCCAATACCAGGTATGTGCCTTCACATCATCATCATCATCCTTCTCTCTCTCTTCCCTGACTTACTCCCACGTCTTCCCTCTATACACCCGAAGACCACCCCTGTGCCTCACTGTAGTCCAAGCCCATCCAGCTATGGAGGCTGGGCTATGGCGCTGCCCTCAGCAGCACCCTGCTCCCTGCACGACCGCACGCGCTAGCACCTTGCCTCTCAGCGCCAGCAGCAGCCCACAAGCGTCCTCTCCAGCAGCGCTGCCGCCAGCATGCAAGTGCTGAATGAGGGACCAGGCAGCGAGCTCTTTCCTATATGGAAAGAGCTGGCCTGCCTTCGCAGCCTGGCTGCCCTGGGCCTGGGCCCGGAAGCTTCCGGTAGGCCCCAGGATGCTGCGCCTCTGGTGCAGCTACTGGGCCTCATTCGGTTGGACCTCCCAACTGTCAGTGTATGGGGCTGCGATTTTCGCCCAGGGCCTGCAGTCATGGAAAAGCCCAGAAGGCCGTGGAATATCTTTGTTGCTCGGCCTGTGTTTCCCTTCAACCAACTGGCGCGTCACAACTGCCTGGACCCCAAATACGAAATTGACAGCTGAGGGCCTCTCGTGATTTGTTAGGCCCGCCTTCACTTAGGGCGGGCACAGATGCAACAGGGGGCCCTTAGGCCTGCCGAGGTCCCGAATCCTCGCAAAAACCTTTTGCATGTGCGTGTGCGTGTTGGTATAATATGCCGATGTGATTGGCTAAGGGCCTAGCTGCGGCACTCTCCATCCGCCAAAATTTTGAATGCATCTGGACAAGTTATCTGTCTGGATGCATTCAAAATCTTGGCAGACAATATACTGATACGATTGGCTAAGGGCCTAGCTGCACCGCTTACCATCCACCAACATTTTGAATGCATCTGGACAGCAGTCTGTCTAGATGCATTCACAATCTTCGCGGTGCAACTAGGCCGCAAAGAAGGTTCTTGCACATCAGAACTTTCTTTTTCTTTTTTTTTTAGGAATTTTCTGACTTGCTGAGTTATCATGCGAGAAGACACTGGTGTTACTCAATCGGCATGGGGCAAGAAGAAAAGGAAGGCGCAGCTGCGGCCAAAATGCTCAGTCTTTGTGTTAGTCCCCGCCCGCCCCCTCCTCCCCCCCCCTCTGCACCCTGACCACTAGGGCAAAGGGCAAAGTGCAATCTTCCCTTCACTGTGAGAGGTAGCTATGCTTGTAGGGTCCCTTCTAGACAGCCCTGGGAGTGGTGGTAGGTCGGTAGTGAAAGGTTAATTTGAGAGGAGGAAAACCTAAGAAAACAAGAATATAAGAGCGCTTGAGCGCTGAGAAAGTTTTTTTTTTTTTTTTTTTYTTKTTYTTTYTTTCTCGGGGGATGCCACTCCTTTTTTTTTTTTTTTYTTTTTTTTTTGGTTTCAACGTGCAGAATTTTCTTGACTGTGTCCTTTCCTCAACGTGCGAGCCTTTGCCTTTGCCTGCCAACGTGCAGAAAATGGCATGGGTTAAGTAAGAAAAATGGGAAATCTGTGGACTCCAATTACTGACCGCACAAGTTGTCTTTCTCCTAAGGATGGAGTTTCAGCCCCAATCCAAATCCAAATCTAGTCCAGTCCGAAAAGGAAAGCAGTGAAAGCACCCAGTCAAAGGTCACCCATCCTGTGCTGCTGCCTATCAACATCAAAGAAGGCACAAGTAAAAGGTAAAACCCAAAAAAAAAGACTCAGTAAAAAGTACTAAAAAGTACTCGTATTTCTGGGAAAAAAAAGATACTACTCCTTTGACCACAGGTAATTTTGAATAGCTGCGAACCGATTTGGACAAACGAAATTTCAATTGGTCAGCCATCAAACCAAATCGGTCTTCTCGAATTTCCTATTTAGCCCATTATCCAAACCGATACAAGGAGCAGATAGAGGTTAGCAGAAATGACGAGCATTTGGACACGAAAGATTTAACAGTTTGGACGCTTGATCTTGTTATTAGGCGACGTGATTTAACGAATTAGTATTTGCCAATTCCTGATTTTGTCCAAAGATCAACCGATTTGAGAGTCTGCAGACTCTACACAGACCACTTGGATGGGTAAAAGTATTAAATTAGCGGAGCGGTTTCGCAAGTTATTCAGGATTATGACCCTGCTCGTCCCGTAGACTGTCCATCTAGAATGTCGCCTCGATTATTTAGCTGAAGTTTCATGTCAACGGTAGGCATGTTCTCTGCTGGACTAATCAGTTTCTCTGTGTTTTTTTTTTTCTTTCTGTTTTTTGTACTTTTTTCCCAACTGCTGTGCTGTTATTAGGAAATACAATAAAACTTACTTATGCCATTATTATTAGGAAAAAATAAAATAAAACTTAACTAACTGCAGAGGGGCTTGGGTTCGTCTTTGTCTGCAGGTTGCAATGCTCAAATCTGGAAGCTGTTGTAAGGCATTGTCGTCTGATTTTTTTCGAGGCGTACGCTTGGCAAGAAACAGCTCTAGTTGTCGTGCGCCAGCACAGAGGCTTCCCGCAATTAGCGCTGTTGTAGCAGTAGAAACGGAGCAAGCTGTCCAGGGTAAGTCAATGTGGGCCCCTCCCAAATACCTACCGTCTTTGCCCGAATAGAACGCCCGGTCGTTATCGCTGAATCTGGAGTCTGGACTGAAAGTTGCACCAGAAAATACGGCTGTAATGACCGGTCTCATTCTATTCAGGTGAAGACGGTAAATTCCTCATCCTCCCCCCTTCCTCCCTCCCTCCCTCCCCCTACCCCTCATCCCACTGACCCCTTCTTTTTGTGGTCTGTGTGTTACCTTTTTTTTTTTTTTTTCCCCCGTCTGCCACCCTGTTGTATATCCTTTTATTCTTCTCTATCTCTAATACCTTAAAGCAAAAGGCGGGTCTCGCGTGATGGGCCCACGCGAGACACCGCAGCTGGTGGGAGGGTCCCGGATGTGAGAGACCCGCCCACGCGAGAGTGCCGGATGGGTTTCGTGCTGCGGTGTGCGCCTGGTCCCGTCTTTACCCGAGCGGCGCACCGGTTTGGAGGAGCCGGTCGGCCCACGTGAGAGACCGCAGCTGGTGGGAGGGTCCCGGATGTGAGAGAGCCGCCCACGCGAGAGTGCCGGATGGGTTTCGCGCCGCGGTGTGCGCCGGGTCCCGTCTTTACCCGAGCGGCGCACCGATTTGGAGGAGCCGGTCGGCGGGTGGTCCGGGGGCGCGTGGGGACGGGGGGTGCACGGGGACACAGGGCAAGGGCGGGTGCATGCGGGCCGCGGCGCCTGTCGGGGGCTGTGCGGCGACGCGTCGTGTGACGGGACGTGGGCAGCGGGAGCATTGTGATCGATGGCATGCAGGCAACATGCATGCGTCGTCTGGCAGTGAGGGAGCATGCGTCGTCTGGCAGTGAGGGAGCATGCGTCGTCTGGCAGTGAGAGCTTCTTTGTGTCGTCGCGGGGGAAGCGGACGTGGCAGGCGTGGAGCATGGAGGGGGAGGAAAACGGGACCATGCGTACTCGAAGTCGTCGGGGAGATGGGGAAGTGATGTTGAGAGCGGAAGTCGTGGAGTGTGTGTGAGACTGGGAGTGGTGCACGCATGTCCCGTACAGATACTGTACGTGGGCGGGGAGATTGGCGAGTGATGCTGAGACCGGAAGTCCGCGACTGTGTGTGAGACTGGCAGCCGTGCGTGCATGTGTGATTGAGAGAGCCGGAAAACGTGAGAGAGGCGAAGAACACTCATCCTCTGTGATATTATCAAGATGGCTAATCAAGGTTCGTCATCGTATCGATGGAATGCGTGTGTAT